CGTCGGGCTCTCCGGAATCGCCGTAGGCAAATCCGGTGTGGTGCACGATCGCGTGAGGATCACCGCAGTGCCCAGGTCAGCGGCATGTTGCTTCATGAGGGATGGGATTCATGGAGTGGTTCCACTCTCGAGTTGATGGTAGACGGGTCAGTTGACGGGGTTTGACCTTGAGGACTTTAGGTGCCACTTCTTGGGCTCAAAGAAAGAGCGAACTGAGTTGACCTACTCATCATTCACATCCACAGGTCCAATTCACCCTGGCGAAGCACCCCAAAATGGTGACTATACTGAAGCTGCGAGAATGTGGAGCCAGTCTCATGAAGGCTACAGTTACAGCACATGGACATGGGGGCAGCATATGAAATAAAGGCAGAGAAAGTCTCTGTTGCCCGGACCAGTACCTCGTCCCTTTGGGTCATCCCTTTTGGGAGAAAGGCACCCACCGCCCATCCTTCGTCCGGTCGCCGTCGCAGTCCCCAAAGGACCTCTTGGACCGACGACAAGAAGTCCTGGTGTTGCGCTCACATGAAGCTGGGCTGTCCGAAGACCACGACCCCAGCCTTGCCACGACCCCAGACGGAGGTTCAGACGAAGACGAAGCAGGTGATCGACGCGGACGCGGCGTCGGTCCCGACAGAGGTCCGAGAAAGACATGGCAACAGGTCCCGATAGATGTGCGGATTTGGTCTATTTCAGGCGCTTTCAGGCGGACCAGACCAACAGGACATCCTTGGTCGGACCAGAATCCCAAACGACCAGTTGTTCAGTTCCGCGGAGCCCCGAATTCGTGCCGCGGACCGAGAAGGGGTCCATTTTGGTTGAGACAAGTGACGCAAGGTGAGGTGCGACGTTACTCCCCAAAGGGCGCATCAAATGTCGGGATTCCCCCCAACTGGGCTGTGGATCTGGATGCGAGTTCCCAGCTCCGTTGGATCAGTAGGATTGTCTCGCCTTTGTGTCACCTTTGAGTTGGATTGTCATGCACTCGTTCCGTCTGGGGGACCCTGGAAACGAGGCACAACTGCGACCTGAACGTGGAGCACTGGGAGTTGGCCTGGACCGAAAGTCGGCCTCGCCGGCATTCGGCTGGCTCGATCGATCTCGGTGGTTGATCCATCTCTCCACGGTGGCGGCTGAACCAGGGGTGATCACCTAGTTACCTAGGTTTGTTTGTGTCACAGATTGATGTCTTGGTGGAACGATGCATTTCATGAAGCGTTTTGGTTTTCGCAAGTCTGTCATGGACCATGGACAATTGAGTCTGTTCAGCATGGCAAGCCTCGGGATTTCTGGGGATTTCTGGAGGTCAGTTCGTTTTTGTCTTGTCTTCCTTGCTTCCACCTGCACGGCTGCCAAGCTGCGTAGGACAGACGACAAGAAGCACTATTGTTGTATGGCCGTCGGACGGGCTTGCGATCCCTACGACTGCTCTGAAGGGCTCGAAGAATGGTCAGCGATCCCAGACGACAGAAGTGGAGACAGACGGGAAAGCGATCCATCCGACCAAACATGGAGAAACCGACTCTGTTTGTTTTGGAGTGGAAGATTGCCTCACATCTTCTGAAAGCTTCTCACGGATCCTTTGGAAGACTTTTTATCTTTGCAGAGCCTTTCCAGATCAGTGAAGAAGAACTCCTGAAGAGGGTGTTCTTTTCAATCTGCAAAACCTGCATTCCTTTTCCCTTACATCTAACCAACACCCAGTGGACCCAGTGAACTTCCGCCGGGTGCCATGAGGCACAGCGTTTGGGGCATGGCCAAACGCGCCTGGTGCTGCGAGCGCATTCACGTCGGTGGGAGGGCCCAGGGAAGATCAACGGACAGTAGCGTCCTTGTTACTAGTAGTAAGGCACTTGTAGGTTTTAGAAACACCCAGGGGTGGACGCCCCGATGGGATGAGTGAAACACTGGAAGGTGCCAACGAGGAGTCTCTTCTTGATGCGGTGAAAACTCAGTTGTAACTTCTGCTGCTAGTTGAATGGTAGCGCGGCAGTCCCAATCTGTCATTGAATCCATTCAATCACGAAAGCCTCGTCCTGGCTGTACGATTAGGCAATCGTGCTGTAATGAAAAGATGCCGAATCAAAGTTTGAAGCAGTGAACCTGAGTCCCCGAGAAGCAGAAGTGGCTTCAAGGCTTCGAGTCTCCTGGAAAAGTTGTCCAGCAGTCGTTGGTTTCATTCGTAGTACGATCCCAAAAGGATGACTGGCTTAAGTACTATACAATGTGTTCCTACAGTTCTGCAACTGCAGAGAACAACTGCAGCAAGCACTGAGGCTGTCCCGTCACCACCGTGCAGCCCTACCACTGCGAGGGCGGCAAAGACGCCGCCAGCTGGGATCCACCGAAGCGATCATGGCGCCTCGGCGCCAACACGAGAAGACCGACGTCCCACAGGAAGACTCCGCGTACAGACAGCCGCTTTAGCTGCTTGTTCTTTTCTCTTCAATTTGTTGTTTTTCCGTTTGTGTTCTTTGTTCGTTGTGTCTTTTTCGGTTCTTTTCGTTCGTCCTTTCTCTTCCCCCCAAACCCTCCACGAGTGACACGATGGTGTCGCCACGCATTTCCGCTGAGGTGTTGCCACCATGAGCGGCTGGGATGCCCGGAAGATATCTTCGATTGCCATGCAGGTCTCAAGGATTGGCGTGATGGATGGTCCAAGGCGCGTGCCTTTCCGGCGTCACTCACGCGTGGCACGTGCGAAAGCCAGTGTTTCTTGGAGGACCTGGCAACCTGTCTTAAACATTTCTGACCACACTGCAATGAGTCAAGAATTCTGGCGTTCTGGGTTTGGGGATGTTTCTTACCACGTTGAGAAAGGCTGCAAACGCTTTTGTTGCAACGCCAGGCAAAGAAGGACTGGTGCTGTATGACTTTCCATCGCGGTTGTGAATGAGGCCACATGTGAGTATTGGTGCTGAGCAACACGTTTGTTTGTTGACAAGAAAAAAAAGAGGAGGTACAAGTTGCCTCAGTGCCAAATACACTTTGATTATTTCCCTAAGCTACTAGAAACAAGTGCATCGCTAGTAGTAACAAGTGCCTTACTAGTAGTAGCAAGAAGCTACTAGGAACTAGAATTCAAGCTTTTGTTGTTTAAATTATGTTCCAAGTGGTCTAAGACGGTCCAACACTCATGTTCAGATGTTCAGAAAGACTTGGCTCGGCACCTTGAGAGGCTGTTTGTCAGATGAATGCGTCAGCGTGTGCTGTGCTCACGTTTCCAGGCTTGCCTTGAGTTCGGGTGGCATGCCTTAGGCACCACTGTACTTGTCGGGAGCCTGGTCCGCTCGTCGAACACAAGACACAAGGGACACAGCAAAACTCACCTTTTGGTATAAGCACGATGAATAAGACTGTGAAAGACGACGAATTGTTTGACACATGGAAATCCCTCAATCAAGGCATTTGCATCGAAAGGCTTCGTGAGGCTTTGTGAGAGGCAAAGCCTCGCCGATCCACGGCCCCGAGCCGTGTCGGGGGTCCTTTTCTCCGTGATCCCGGTGATGGCGCCCGGCCCACACGATTCCACAGGCGTTTGGGCAGTCCTTGACATGCCTTAATCTAAATCTTAAAAGAGAAAATAGAACGATGGCCTCTACCCTAATATCGATGGCCTCCACCCTAGTAGCGATGGACTCCACCCTACTAATTAGATGACTTTCCAGAGTTCAGGCAGAAATGCCTGTTCATCCCTTTTCGTTGCTCTCCCTGTCCACTCGGATGCCCAACGATCTCTCGGATGTTCAGAGACCGCATGACCGGTGCCCCATTTGTTGCACGACCAGTGACGAGGAAATTGCATGAACGGTTCACCTAAATAGTAACTGTAGAGCTACTTCAGCTGTTGACTTGGCTGTTTGGGATAAAGCCTTCTTTTCTGAACATCGAGTCAACTCATCAGACATAGTTCTACAATCTGACGCGTGAGGACAAAAGGAAGTGCTGCATCGCGTTGCTCCGCCTTGGCAGATGCAAAAGCACCAAAAGAGTTTGCTCAGCAACTCGAGTCAACAAGCTGCGCTGGGACTAAGCGCCTAAGCGCTGCAGAGCAGTCAAGACCGAAGGAACGGGTCCGAGGTGTTTTGGACGTGACTCCTTAGGCTGGGTGTGTCACTGAGCCGGACATGTTGGACCCTTCGCGGAGTCGGAACCCGACTCGGCGCAGGCCAGGGAACACGCCTCCCGGACCTGCGATAAAGGCGGCCGGAGCTGCCAGGGGCGGGTCGTGGTGCCAAAAATCCTAAAGGATCCTAAAGGTGTTTGTGTGTGTGTGTGTGTGTTTGCTCTTTGTTGAAGAACCTCGTGGCATGCGGGGTCGTGGACATCTTCACTTCACTCACCCCTCCCCATGTGTGCCCTAGCCGATATCCGATGCATGTTTCTTTCTAGTATTTGATACTCTTGGAGGTCTATACTTCGACCTCTCAGAGGACAAACCAGCCAGGAAGACGCAGCCCACCCGGCCATCCCTTCCGGTCAACACCGGCCAGGTCGGACCCTCGATCATCCGCACGGCTTCGCCAAGTGAAGCCGAACCGCGGAGAGGTTTCACCGCCGCGCCGCGCTCGGCTGCGCGGCACCGAGCCGAAAAGGGACAGCGGCGGAAGAACGAGGGTTCCCTGGCGGCCAGTGGAAGGTGTTTTCTTTGTTTTTCTTTCGATGCGTTCCGGGTGGTTGTTCGTGTGTTCGAAAAGGAAGACGAAAGACGAAAGACCGACCTGTCAGTTTCCGCTCAGTCAGAGTGTGCAACCAGCTAAAAGGGAACAAAGGGCGTCGCTAGGAACGGAGCAAGGACGCTACGAACGTAGCTCCTGGCCATACTACTCGAAACCTGGGGGACCAAAGAAGGGATCTTGGCACCTGCTCACATGTTCCGCTGCAGAGCTGCAGTTTCAAGCTGATGAACGAGTGATTTGAACCAAGATGTGGACAAGATCTCTCCTGTTTGTTTTAAAACTGTCAATGATTTCGACCTACATCGACTTAGAACAGGTATTGTTCGTACCCTCTCCTCTGATTTCTCATGACTCCCTAGAACGGTGCTGCCTGGTGCTGACCTCTCAACGCACAAGGTGAGGAAGCGCAAGGGATGACTCGCTCTATCACCCCATGTCGAAGAAACGAATTCGTGTTGTTTTTCTCCCGCGCTTGGATGGCGCGGTCTTGAAAAAGTTTGCCAACCGTTCAGATGACAAAAGCAGGGCAAATGTCCTTTCGCCGGAGATGTTGGACAGAAGGAGACTGAATGACCTGCAATTCATCCATCTCTCCATCTCTCCATCCATGAAAACCCTTGAACCTAATAGCGATGGCCTGCCACCGCAGGGGATGCTCCGGCGGGCCATCTCTGTGCAGGCCGCCCACCGGGCCAAATGGCACCGACCGAGCCGTTCCATCCCTTTCAGGACGAGTGTATGACGAGTGTATCCTGACATGAATACACATAGGGTTTGAGGGTCCGGAGCCCTGCCATGGAGGGCCCTTTTTTCGGATTCTTAGGGCAAAGGCGGCAAGGGAGAAAGAAATAGTGATTTTGTGGCGCTATAGTGTTATGGCTGGCTGTCATGGGTATCAAAATGAGGATATCCACGACCAATGGGTTGCGGGTGTATGTTTCTTTCGAAGAGGATTGTGGAGTTCTTCCCGGTTTAGCTGTTCAATGGGCACATGAGGTCGGATCAGGTTCGTTTCGAGCGAAGAGGACAAGAAAACACGGATCCCAAGCCAGCATAGGCTGACGATTCAACCTCCAAAGCACCTGTTGGACGCCACCCAACATGCACCAGGTGCTTTGTTTGGACGTCTTCCGAGTGCTTTTTGGATGAACAAAACGGGTGTCGTTTGTCGTGTCTCATCCCTTTTGCCAACCCGATTTCTTGACCTGTCCAGGTGCCGAGCCACCTTCGCTTTGGCAGCTGCAGGTGACCCGCGAAACCGTCACCGGAGCAAGGAGTTAGGACGGACGAGGTCGATTTGGTCCGAGCGCCGGGCGAAGCGGAACGCAGTGCTGAAGCGAAACAGGAGAAGAGAAGAGAGGAAAACGGCCGAAGCTCGTTGACATCGGCCACTGGGAGCCACAGCCAAATGCCACACTCGTTGGAGGGTTTCAAGAAAGTGCTTGCACTCCACACCTCAATGCCCTAAGCAGAGAAATCAAGCATATTGTTTGGGCGTCCCGTATGTGTTTCTCGTGGCCGGCCTCTGAAAAATGCGCGTCAGGCGCTTCGCGTCGGTTCCGACCAAGCCGACCGACAGTGGGGGACATAGAACACCGGTGCGGAAGTAGGTTTCGTGGGCGGAGCAAGCTGATGTTGTTTCGGTTGGACTAAAGAATAGCAAGCAGGGGAAGGTCAACAGCTTCTATTTGGATGCAAAAAAACTGCGACCCGTCTTCATGCTGTAGAAGCTTCCCACCGAAGCTGCCATAAGCCAGAGCTAACTGGTGTTCTTCTTAGTGGTTTTGCCAAAGCGAATGCTGACCCAACCTGCCAATGGACACCGACGGAACCGATGGTGTGGTTCGGTCCGGTGCGTCTGAGGTTCGCCTGAAGCGTGGCGTATGGATCGAGAAAAGTACAAGGATTTGGACAGGCCCAGTAGCGCTTGGTTAGGCTTTCTTGGCTGGGAAAGGAACAGCTGTTGGGAAAGAAGGAGGAAAGGAGTGCATCTGCTAGTTGCCACAGGAACAAACGGTGAAAACAACTCGTTTTCAGGTCCTTGTGATTCAACCAGGTCAACAGAAGTTCGGTCAAGCAGCGACCAAGATTGATACTCTCCTTTTCATCCGATATCTTTAAGCTTTGGGTGGATCCCAAAAGGCAGAAAACCATCTCACTTTGCTCAACAAAGGTACCTACACGCACTTACGCCCCATGACAAGTCCTTCGACTTAAAAGGACCTGCAGGGCATCGCAGACGGGCCCCCCTTCCGACGAAGCGGGGCTTTGCCCCTCGGCGAGTGGCGACCGACGTGCGGCGGGCGGCGCGCCAGTTTCCCTGGTGGACGACAACCACCCAGAGATTTCAGGCGGGAGCTGAAAGGGTTTCGATCGATGCTGGGAGCCAGGGACAGGTAAGGTCAGTAACAATTAGTTGTAACAACAACTAGTACTCTTCATATACTGACAACAATTTCCTTCAAAGTGTGAGGAATGTGTTTTCGTTGTATTCTAGACCTTTCTTGTTTTCTCTTACTTCTCTTTGTTTCCTTTTTGCCAAAAAGGCATCTTGGACAAGAAACGAAGCCTCAAGACCTTCTTCCCCCGAACCCCACGTCCGCGGGGTGGGCGTCAGGATGGGGCCCTATGCCAGCAAGATGGTGAAAGATCCTGAGACCGGCAAGGTAGGGATGTGTTCTGCGCTCCTGGGCGGTGGCGGTCCGGTGGAAATGGAACTTAGCAGTTGAACGATCCGATGTTCTGCAAGGGGCGGAGGATGTTGCGACGTTCGTGGCATCGTTGCTCCGTTCGTAGTAATGCCCTTGAGACTAGTAGCTTCTTGTTCCTATTAGTAAGGCCAGGAGCCCCGCCCTAGTAGCGTCCTTGCTCCGTTCGTAGCGATGCCCTTGTTAGTATAGTAGCATCCTCGCTACTCCACGAAGAAGACCTACCCCCCCACCTTCCCCGATGAGGTCTATCCAAAGGGCACCTGGTTCGCGCACCCGCGCGATGACCCCGTGACCTTTGTCGCCCGGTGACCCAGTGATGGGTGGAGGCTTGGTGCTTCACGTTCACAGATCAGAAAAGCTCCCAAAATGCCAAGGAAACCAGGAAGCTGCTCTAAGCCAACCCACAGAGACTAATTCAGTAGCTAGAGAGGTTCCTGATCACAGTGTGTGTGTGTGTGTAACCCTTGGAATCATAGGGATCCTTTTGGATTTTTCAGGTTTGCCTTTCCGTTTTGTTTCACAGCAGGGGGTGCCAGGGACCGTGCAAGTCTGGCACTAACAAAGACGCTTGCACTGGTCTGTGAAATCAATCCGGGACGCCGGATTGACGTACCTGCCGGGAGAGAAACCTACGTAGAGCACAAGCTGTCTACGTCGTTGTTTCCTTCAGTAAAGGGCTACTGCAGCGGCGATGAATTTGGCCTTTCTGCAGATGTGAGCGGACGACGTCATTCTGTCGGTCGATCGTTCGGGATTTCTTTAGACTTTATGGCCTCGCTGAACTTGATGGACCTCCACTTCCTTTTAGGTTTCCTTACCTGTACCCTTAGGAATTGGAACCCTAGGCCGGCGTGTGGCACCGCTTTCAGTTCAGCACACCCTATCCTAAGTGTGTGTGTGTGTGTGTGGGGGGGGGGGGGGGGGGGGGGGTTCCTTCGCCTTTTGCTTCAAGTCGAAAGGAACAGCAACCACAGAAGATCCTGACGTAATCCGGTTCTTCAGAATGTTCGAAACAAACCGAAACCCTGGAGGAATCCGAAAACTGGATCTAGGAGTTAGGTTGGAGGCCATTGCTACTAGGGTGGAGGCCATCGCTAGTAGGTTCAAAGCTCACTCAGTCCATGTGTATGGCACCACGGAAAACGACCCTACAAATGGTATCAGCCGTTCTTCTTCGCAACAAGGCGTGGAAGGCGTGGCGTGCCCAAAACGGCCCAACGCAAGTTCCCCGTAGTTCCTGGCAGAACGGTCCCTCCTTCCATCGAAAGGTCAATTGCCTCATTGCTTTGACCACCGTCAGGGATCGCCAGACTGGGAGGGTCCGCTCCGGGTTAGCAACTCGAGCCTCCACGCTGAGCGAAGCTGTCTAAAGAGCCTCCTTCACGTCTTATGCAAAACGGCATGATATATAGATATATATAGTATATGTCTCCTATCTCTGCGGGCGAGATGCGAGGATTTGTTCACATCGTTGGAGTTCACAGAGAAGTGTCCTCTCTCCACGTGTTGGTTTAAAAAAAAGAAAAAATGTGTCTATGTCACACCTCGCGTTCAGACCCTGAAGCCAAAGCATTCTCGTTCGGTCCCAGAGGCCATCCGCCCGCCTTGATCCGCCCTCTCATCGGTTGAGTCTCAGAGGTCTGGACCATCAGCCAGCTCTCTTGGGGTGAATCCTTCTTCGAGAAACGTGCCTCAGCAGCAAAGTCCTACTCAAAGTCCTTTTTGAAAACACCGGGCCAAAAAGATGCGTTTTTCTGCCCAAAGATGTGTGTGTATGATATGGTTTTCACAAAGGCCTATGCCTACCTAGAAGCCTCTAGGTGTAACCTCCTCGTCGAAGGTTTCAGGAGAATCTTCCTGATGTAGAAAGATGTAGAAAGAGCATCGAGATGTATTCCCAATATGTCCTGGATGCTCTTCGTAATCTGTTTTTATCTTAACTCCAATTGACTGCAACGACCTGTTTTTTCTTTCCAAGGCAAGCGGGTGATCCGAGAGAAGATAAGGCTGGACGGTCTCCTGAAAACTGCCGGCTAGCTGGGTGTTCCCATGTGCTCCCTCTAGACAAGAGCCAGCTGGGAGCAGCTATTCCGCCACTACTCATGAAAGCGGAACAGCAGAGCCATCAGTCTTTCTCAACACGATCCTCTTGGCTGACTTCCGCGATTCCCTGCGCCTGACTTCCTGCGCTTGGCGTCTTTGTTGACACGTGGCTTGCGGCAGTGGCGTGAGGCAAGAATATGGCCTTCCCAAAGGCTGGGAGCATGACATCGAAGATGAGGAGGAATTGCCACTCAGCTGCGTTGAAACCAGGCTGAAACCAGTCCTTGTACCTTCAGAAAGTTTATCTCACTTCAATCGATCTCACTTGTGGCATTTCCACAGTCTTGGCTAGGTTTGCAACGTTTTATCAAAACGACACACCTCAAAAAAGGACAACCGAACCATGGTCGCGTGGCTCTTCTCGGCCGAGGTCCCTCTCGGAGGCCGAGCCCACGAACGCCGCCGAGCCGGTGGCGCGCTGACAGAGGCCGATCGGGCGATCACGGTTGGTCGGTTGGGGGCATCGATTTCGTCCGGCGCTTTAAGGCTGTTTTCGACCAAAATGAAGAATTCAGAAAAATCGCTTCGCTTAAAAGGTGTCTGTCTCGAAGCTGCGAAGGTTTGAGAATATGAAGAGAGAGGTGCTTCTTTCTGGTACCCATCCGTGACCGGTGGTAGGAAAAGCAAGTGCATCGCTACGTTCGTTGCTTCTTGCTACAAGTAGCGTCCTTGCTCCTAGGAGTACGGCCAGGAGCCCCATTCGTAGCGTCCGATCGCTCCTAGTAGCGATGCCAGGAGCCCCGTTCGTAGCGTCTTTGCTCCCAGTAGTAAGGCACTTGTTCCTAATAGTTTCTTGTTACTACTAGTAAGGCACTTGTTACTAGAAGCGATGCACTTGTTCCTAGTAGTTTCTTGTTACTACTAGTAAGGCACTTGTTACTAGAAGCGATGCACTTGTTCCTAATAGCTTCTTGTTACTACTAGTAAGGCACTTGTTACTAGAAGCGATGCACTTGTTCCTAGTGGCTTCTTGTTACTACTAGTAAGGCACTTGTTACTAGAAGCGATGCACTTGTTCCTAGTAGTTTCTTGTTACTACTAGTAAGGCACTTGTTACTAGAAGTGATGCACTTGTTCCTGATAGCTTCTTGTTACTACTAGTAAGGCACTTGTTACTAGAAGCGATGCACTTGTTTCTAGTAGTTTCCTGTTACCGATGGCTCGTTTTCCTTTTCGTTCTGTCGGACCGAAGAAGAACTCAGCGCGAGCTCCGCCCAGGTGACGTCTCAGTGATCGTGTTTGTACCGCGGACGTCGAAAGAAAGGAATGAGCGGAGCAGCCGGTTCCACAGCAGAGACTGACCCAGTTGGCCAGTTGAGTGGTTCCTTTTTTTCTGGAAGATGTCTTCACTTCTTGAAGATGCTACTCTGAGGGCTGCTTTGACTGATGTGTTTTTGCAGGTTGGATATGACATTGTCCAATGAAGGATGTTTGCATAATGTTTAATTCCAAGTTCTTGTGGAGCTAAAAATGTGTGAAGGAGTCGAATCAGCTGAGTGGCTTTGATGTTTGGATACACCGATTTATTCCCCTTCATATCAATAAATGACGATAAATGTCATGTTCAACTTTGAGGCAGTTGCTTTGAAAGGAAGAATAGGGCGTTGCTGTACAGACTGCACTGCACGCTACATGTTTGCACACCATGACAGAATGTTGTTGCTGCGGCAGTTGCTGTCATATGTGCTTCGCCCCGGCTTCATCTAGCCATGGCATCGGTGTGCCAAGCAGTATTCAACTTGGACCCATGCATGAAACCATGGACTCAAGGACTCTTTCAAAGATGACAACGAAAGCAAACTTCAACGGGATGCCAAAAGTGTCCCACAGATCATGCCAAGAGTTTTAATTAAAGACTCCAAAACATCTACCTGGCACAGCTTGGAAGTTCGACAAAGTCTCATTCGACGTTCCAAACATCGTCTCGGATCCACCGCGCGTCCGCCCCCCGGGCGGCTCCGGTCGAGACCGGGTCTCCGGCGCCGGCGATGCCGGGCGACGATGCGGGGAAGGCGGAAGAGCGAGCGACGACGGATGCGCACGGGTGGAGCGTAGCTTCTTGATACTAGTAATGCCCTTGTTACTAGTAGTAAGCGTAGTAAGGATGCTCCTAGTAGCGATGCCAGGAGCCCCGTTCGTAGCTTCTTGTTACTAGAAGTAAAGGTGTGGTCGAAATCGCATGAAATCGTTTTGGACCTCGTGCCGGTCGCTAGTGGTTCGGACTCCGAACTCATGCCAGTGCCTGTTTCGGACCGCGAGCAGGATCGGCTGGTTTGGGTGGTTGGGGACGGTGGGCGTGACCGCGTGGAGGCATTCAGCTTGGAAAATAGATCGTTGGATCTTTTTGGGCGAATCCAAGGCAGCATGTGACATGGGGAGAGGTAAGAAGCTATTAGAAACAAGTGCATCGCTACTAGTAACAAGTGCCTTACTAGTAGTAACAAGAAGCTACTAGGAACTAGAAGCTATTAGAAACCCCCCCCCGAAGCGATGAGTCACATGCTTCACTCGACTATTCCACCGTGTCCGGCTCGGTGCTAGCTCTGGGCAGGCGGTCACTTGTGCACCGGGGTGGACACTCGTAACCGCTGGAACTAAGTGCTTGAAGAGTTGGGAATTGCAGGAAGCACATGCAAGTAAACATATAATCGATTGACACCTTCAGGAAGACTCATCGCAAGAAGAAGGGAACGTGCCGTGCGTGTTGTCCGTGTTCATGTGTTTCTTTCGTGTTTCTGCTTCAGTTTCCACGGGTGTCACATGGTGTGTCACAGGGTGTGTCACATGGTGTCACTCTGTAGGTCTATGTGGGTGGTCTGAACTTCACCACCAGTACCGAAGCCTTGAAGGCGGACTCTGGACGGGAGCGGAGAGCCAAGAGAGCGAGCGGCGCGGGGAGAGCGCCAGCGCCGGAGTTAGGTTGACTGGTGCCATGACATGCCACAACCATATATTGGGAGAAAACAAGTACCTGTTCAACATGGCCATGTTGTCTTTAGATGCCATTAGTTGTCCTGTTACCCATAACAGGAAAGGTAAAACAAGTATCACGATTTTTGAGGAAGAACGGCCTGCAACGGAACCAGCATCATCCACTGAGCCGAAATAGGATAGACCCAAACCATATGGATCCATAGGTGTCCTGAAGAAGAGCTCTAGTAGATTCCTTTGCTAGTAAGGCACTAATTCTAATTAAATTCTTGTTACTACTAGTAACAACTGCATCGCTAGTAGTAACAGGTGCCTTACTAGTAGTAACAAAAAGCTATTAATTTAAAAAGTAATTAATAGCTTCTTGTTACTACTAGTAAGGCACCTGTTACTACTAGCGATGCAGTTGTTACCATCGTGTGGCCCAAAGTCCCATCCAGGCGCACTTCGAGCAGTTTGGTAGCATCTCTGACTGCATTGAGCCAGCCTTAGAGTGAACCCGACTTGTCCTTTGCGAATTGCACATGTTGACAAGTCGCTTTGTTTAAGCGAGCATGGTTGCGAGTGGGTGGTTATAGTCATGATAACATCCCTTGGTAAATTGCTGTTTTCTGCCAAGACTTCTTCAGCAAAGACTCGAAAAGCTACGGACCCCCAAAAAATGCAAACCTCTTTCTTGATAGATCTCCTGCACCCTCCTTTTCATGCCAATTGAGGGTCTTGTCTCCCCATCCCGTGCAGTCACTCCCGCCGGAGGTCATGACGGACCGGGACACCGGCCGCTCCCGGGGCTTCGGCTTCGTCACCTTCGAGGCAGCCGGGAGAGGTCGTTTTGTTTGTAAACATGGGGCGGTCCGTATGAAAGCACCTTTTGGAGATTGTGCCATCTACTCTTACTTCAAGTAAAGGAAGAGGTGCCTGGGTGCATAGGACTCGGTTTGTGGGCTTTGTAGCTGCTGCAGGCTGCTGCACTGCTTTGGTTATAGCATGTTATAGCATCCTTTGGGTTGAGGAGGGAATTGACACAAGCTGATTTTGCACTTGAACATCCCCATGAAGCAGCCAGGCCGGATGTTCTTTTCAGAACTTGTATCAGAAGTCGTTGAATTCGGTGATCCTAACCAAAGGTCGTGTTGGTCAATACATTTGTGAATTTCGTTCGTGAGTGACTTCACGATGGTTGGAGGGTGCCACGACCTACTCACTTCAAGAGCCATATGCCTTGTCCGCTGTGCTCCACTGTGCTCCGCGCCTTGCTTTTCGCAGGATCCGGGCTCGGTGAATGCAGCGATCACCATGCACGGGGGCCCGATGACCTGTGAAGAAACCACGAGTTGGAGAAAGTTGTTCCTAGTAGCGTCCTTGTTACTACTAAGTAAGGCACTTGTTACTAGAAGCGATGCACTTGTTCCTAGTAGCTCCTTGTTCCTAGTAGCGTCCTGCTCCTAGTAGTAATGCCAGGACGCCCCGTTCGTAGCGTCCGATCGCTCCGTTCGTAGCGATGGGCTTTGTGAGGTTTGTCGCGCCCTTGTTGAACCCTGGGGATCTCTAAGGCCCACGCAGGAGCTGGATGGTCGCTCAGTGACCGTGAAAAAGGCCGAATCTCGTGGAAAGGAAGCCAGGAAGGACTCGGAAAAGGCCTCAGCAGGAAAGACAAATTGTTTCGTAGATGTTTCGTACATGCCTCCATTCCCTGCGAGGAAAGACCACCCAAGCTGAGCCCTTGATGTCCTTTGCGCAGGCCACCCGCGAGAGCCAGGGCGGGCGCCCAGGCGGCGGCGGAGGCGCTGCACCGGAAGGCACGCCGCGGGCCTCCGACGGATTCCGCGAAGAACATCGCCCTTTGGGGTCAATGATGAAGAGGGTCACCAGGAACGAACGCGAAGAAACTGGCAAGTGGCTGTCGACGGATTCTACGCGAGGGATGTCACGGACGGTGAGCGAAGATGAGTGGAAAAGGATGACCGGTCAACGTTAAGTCCTGATTCGATATTTGTTTGTCCTGAGATGTCGACCAAAAAGTTGCTCCATTTTTGCCAATAACAACATTTGAGTCGAAACGCTTAGGCCTAGAGACGTGATGAGACGCTTTGGCTCCGAATGGTCAGGCGTGGAGTTCAACGTGGTCAAGGTCTTCGCGCTGCCGGCGCCTTTGATCGGGCGAAGACTGCGCGATCGGTCGAAGATCTCAGCATCTCGGAGGGAGAATCGGTCCCAAAGCGAGTGCGTTCAAGGTTCGCTACGAACGGAGCATTTCGGGCATCGCGACTCGAAGGCAGCGATCGGACGCTACGAACGGGGCTCCTGGCCATACTGCAAAGGACGCTCACCCGGCGTGTTCGGATCCACCAACGAAGTCCACCGGGCCCAACCGGGGCCCAACCGGGGGTCCGCTGCTCTGGAACCGGTCGGAACCGGTCGGAACCGGTGGTCACGGTCTCTGCGCCAGGTGGGGGGGGCTACCGCCCAGCGTGGACTATGACAAGCTCACAGGAGCGGAGACGATGGAGAAATGACAGGAATTCCACAGAAAGCATGTGGCAGAAAGAAAACGGCACTTCTGAATCTTGATGGGACTGAGTCTCAGTGTAGCACTTGCCTTGGCTTTTGGAGGATACTTTCAGAAGTACGGCAGCATTGAGGCCGCTGAAACACGGTTTCGGGCGAAACCGAAACCGACGACGGGTTTAGCAGCGCGAACGGACGACGGAATCCCCCGAGGATGCGGTGGTCATGATTGACCCTGGGACGCAAAGGCCAGGGGCGTTCGTGTCCCGTCCTTCGTTCGTTCTCTTTCGCCAGTAGCGTTCCGGTGAAGCCCAAAGCGCCAGAAACGTTGAGACGTATCGTCGAGTGAAGTCCACTTGCCGGAAAAAATACCCCCTCCCTTCACGGATGAAAGTTGGGGGCGACTTGTCTTCTCCGGTTCCTGATAGAAGGGATCAATCATGCTTATTTGGTTGGAGGCCATCGCAAGTAGATTGGAGGGCATCGCTAAGAAGTTTGTATCAGTTTTTGTTCCAACCTTTCAAGGACACCGGTCGCGAGCGAGATGTTTGACCTCGCCAGGTCGCGCGGCTTTGGCTTTGTCACCTTCACCGATAGCTCCTCTGTGGAGGCGGTGAGTGGTTTCCAGACGTTGGCTCACACGACAGGTCTATGAGGTGTGTCGAAGAAGTCAGGATTCCAAAACGATGCTCGTACTTAGCAGGTGAAACAATTTGAAGACTGTACCAAGTTTGGGACATGGCTCTTGTGGATTTTTGTGTCGCTTGCGGAGGCTTGCATGGAGAAATATGACTCCAATGAGATTGACGGGAAGTGGATAGAGGTCCGCATGTGCCGAGCCTTTTCCATTGTTGATGCTTTCTTTACAATCGAGCATGGAGGTTTCCTTTAGCACATGGCACTGCGGCTGCTTGAGGCTCAAAGAAGCCTTTCGTGGTTCATTGAGTGCATGGAACAATTTAGAAAGGCCTTCATATAGTGTTAGAGCCTGCTGTTTAAAACCCACGGGTTGATTTGGGACATGGAAGACGGCCACTTCTCAGTAGCTCAACCTGAAACATTGTCAGTACCTGAGTATCTCATGTGAAAGAAAGGTTGGCAGAATCGATCCTCAAAAATGAATGACTGAGGCCATTTCAGTGTTGAAGATCCATTGACCCCAAAGAAATGGCCTCAGACTCGCGGCCATTTCTTCCGCTCATGCCGAAGACTCCTTTGGTGCGATGAGCTTCGTGTGCACTGACACCTCGAGAGAAGAGGCAGATAATCAGCCTGGCAGATAACCAATCGAAACGTTTGGGAGGTCTCCCTATTCTACACCAAACCATTTGGCTGTGAATCACAACCCGGGGACCACACCCTCGGCCTTGCATGGTGAACCGTACCGGGCTCCAGCACGGCCCTGGAGGTGGAGGAAAGCGATGAAAGTGACTCCGACGAGGAGGAGGGGCCTGAAGGATGCGATGGCCTCCATCCTAATAGCCATGGCCTCCATTCCAATAGCAATGGCCTCAAACCTAATTCCTTTTCTGAAGATTAGGATGATATAGGCAATGGTGGATCCCACCATAACGAAATGTAATCATGATAGACTTCCTCACCTGAAACTGGAAGACCCAGTCTTTTATTTCTTTGGGAAAAAGAATCGGCAGAGACAAGAAGAAAGTCTTGTGATGTTTTCTAAGTGTGTATTTACAGGAGGAATGTCGGAGACCCACCGCCTACCTGACAGGAAGGTTGCCTGTTGCTTCCTGAAGATGTCTCGTCGGATCTGGAGTTCTTGTTGGCGCTGATTCGGCAGTGTACCTTTGACTCTCGGACAGAAAGGGTGCAGTGATCGGTGCGGAACGGTTTTACTAGTAACAAGAAGCTACGAACGGGGCTCCTGGCATCGCTACTAGGAGCGATCGGACGCTACGAATGGGGCTCCTGGCATCGCTACTAGGAACAAGAAGCTATTAGCTTATTGTCACTAGTAGCGTCCTTGTTACTACTAGTAAGGCACTTGTTACTACTAGCGATGCACTTGTTTCTAATAGCTTCTTGTTACTACTAGTAAGGCACTTGTTACTACTAGCGATGCACTTGTTACTACAAGAAAGAAAGAAAGAAAGAGAGACGGTGGTTGTTCAACGACACCTGAGAGCTGCAGAGCTCTTGTGGGCTCCTCCGGCGATTCTCGCCGGCCTGTCGTGGCTGCAGGTGAGTCTGGTGCAATTTGCCAACATGCCGCTTCTTTATTTGCTGGCTCAATTGGGCTACACACACTGCGCTTATCTCGTCACTGACCTTTGCTTGGCAAGACTCTTCGACTTTTCAATATGATGAACCGAAGTCAGATTTAGCAATTTGAAGCTTAACATGTGTCCTTTTTCTTCATTCCTGACTGTGAGTCAACTACCGAGCACACACTTTTTGTTGTGCTTGTGGTTTCCCCCAGTGAGGTAGTTGTGCTCGGGATGTTGGGCTCTGGAGCATACCAATTCTGGCTTAGGCGAGATGGATCCGAAGTTTTCTAAACTAGACCTGTTTTTCCTCGGACCGGTTCTGTGTTTGATTTTGAGACCCATCCCGCAGTTCGGGGACAGTCGCCCAAAAGCGTTTTGAGTTGCGACCGTCTCTTGGGACGATCTGAGTTGCCAGGGACCAGATCCTGATTTGGCTGCAGAAGCACAAGTACTGGCAGGCAGGGATCCAAGCCACGTGCCAGTCCGACCAGAGTTGTCTTCGAGTCGCTTCACAGTCCAGTCAAGCACTTCACGACATAAGACAAACGCAAAAAGAAGATCCAGTCGAACATTCCGAGTGGAAAGAAAGAAGCTACTAGGAACCCGCGCATCGCTACTAGGAACAAGGACGCTACGAACGTGGCTCCTGGCCTTGCTACTAGGAGCAAGGGGCAGCGCTACGAACGGAACCAGAAAGAAAGAAGAGACGATTCAGCAGAGCTCAAAGGAAGGGAGAAAAAACATGGACCGGATCATGTTTGTCAGATGCACGTGGCGAGCGTGCAGCAGCTGCTGCAGCCCAGCTGCATCCCATGTTTGTCCGTGAGCAGCATGGCCTTTCTGCGTGGAATCTACGAAGCCATCGATCCTCCCATGGCCACTGAGCGCAAACCCGAAGCGGGGTGAGACGCCAGTGATTTCAGGGATGGAGATGGGGATAGCTGGCAACATGCTTCGTTTACAGATGCAGAACGTTGCAGTCGAATGGGTAACTAAAGAATTCAGAATTGGGGTTGCACCTGAACTACGATTGGCACATGGGTTTAGGGTTCGTTCGCTAGCTCTCAAAATGGATTGTTGATGATTGTTGATAGTGATCGTGCTGGTCCCCAAATAGATCCTTTGAAGGCCGACCAGTTCTTTGTGAGAAGTAGGGTAGAAACAGATGCTTTAGGAGCATTCTTGTCACACCAGGGAGTCCATTGGAGCGCGTTGCAGTTGTGTCGTTTCGGAAAGAAGGACACCTACTGGCTGTTCATTGATTGACTGAACTGAGGATGCTTTGACCGCCGGAAACTCCCAGCAGATGCATCCCGGAATTTGTGGTTCAAGGCGTTCAAGAAGTGCAGAGAGACAGAGAGAGGGAGTGAGCGTGCACGCCCGTTTTTGAGATACTTGAAGATGGGGGAAACATTTGCGGAGCTTTGTGATGCATGGAACGCTTCGTGATGCCTTTCATGGAACGCTTTGATGTGAGGTATTCTGCCAAAGTGGAGGACAGCAGACTTCCTGTGGAAACATCCGGCGTCGGGTTGACAGATTCAGACGAGAAAACCCCAAAAACGATGCGGAACGAATTGGACAACGTAACTAGCCAAAGCCACTGTAACCACAAACCCACGCGCTATGTGCAAAACACAAACACACACACACACACGCACACGCAGGAAGCATTTGAAGCTTCCTGGCGGGGGGCGCCGGTGGTGGGTCAAATCATCCCATCTTTGGGACTTCCTGGAGTGCTCACCTTGATCCTTTGCGTGGTGCCCCGGATGCAAAGCGATACGAAACATGATCCAACGACGAACCGCTCTGCTTTAGACGTCGCGGTATTTCAATGGTAATTCAATGCATTTGTGACCACTCGCCCCTAAAAATTCATACCTGGTCCGCTTTTGGGCTGTCTAAGGCCAGCTTTTGCCAAGTCTACAAGCTTCTCGGCCCCATCGCTCGCCCGAAACGGCGGATGGAGGCGTTCGGACCGCGCGCGCAGCGACGGAGGCTTTGGTCTGAGAGCCGTCGACTGAGACTGCGGATTGACACCTGGGACCCGTGCCTCGGCCGTGCAAGACGCTCGTTTTGGAGGTCTGGTGAGGTCCGTAGTTCCTTTGCATTCGGGTGAAGTGGATTCGAGCAGTCTTTTTTCTTTAGCCCACCCTTAATTCAGTAGGCGCCCGCCTACTTAATTAAGTAAGGGAGTAAGCACTACGTACTGGACGCAGGATAGCTCACACTGATTTGCTAGATTTCTAAGGGAAAACTGAATCTTGTTCTACCTTGTTCTATCTTGTTCTAAGTATGGGGGTTTCGTTCACGGTTCGTTGGACCCGAGGGCGAAGCACGCCACGGCGCCTGATCGTCCGTGTCTCGCTCCGCGGTCCCCGGACGATGCCCGGCATCGCTCGGCGGTGTCGGCCGTTATGTCATAACGGCACTCAGAGCACTCTGTTTTTGGTTCCAATCAGAAGGTGTGTTTTCCAAGTCTGCGTTAACTTGTCTACCACGAATTTCGTATCCAAGGTTCCGACTGAAAACTGGATCGCAGAAGCCAGCCCCGCTGCGAGCCGGACCGTTCTTCCCTCGGTCTGAGGTCCGACGGCCATGAGCCAAAACGTCGCTGGCAGATTTGGATTCGCATGTCGCATCTCACCGATGTGCCTTGAGTTTGCAAAGGGAGCCGCGTCACATGAGTCACAGTCAAGTGATTCACAGACTACATGCTTTACACAAAAAGTAATTTGAATCTCAAGACAGATCAACCGCTGCAGTTCTGTTTAAGAAGGGCGCAAATGGAGCCAGGAAAGGAGCCAGATGTCCGGTCCGAATTCGCTTCTTTCTTCGACGTCTCCAAGACCCTATTCCGAGGTGGGCGGTTTGATGCTGCTCCACCATCTGTTCAAGGAGTTGGTCTTGATCGAAGTGGAAAGCTCACCCGACATTTGGCCCATCGCCGATCGACGCTCGGAACTGAAGCCTGAGGAGGAGACGGGAGATCAAGTCCGGAAGTCACCCAATTGAAGATCTGCGATCGGACACTGCTAGGGGCTCCTGGCCGTACTACTAGGAGCAAGGTTCGCTACTGGTAACAAAGGGCATCGCTACTAGGAGCAAGGACGCGACTATGCGGATGAATTATACAAGTTCTTGTCATGATGTTGGAATGTTCTTCGAAGTGCGTGTTCAAAAAAGACAGAAGCACACTGGAATCACACGTTTGAACAGCCATCTACTTCAAGGTGACGGTTGATTCTTCCAAAATGTGCGTGATTTTAAAAAAAAGAAGAACTACCCCGGCTGCTGCGTTTCCAAAAAAAGAGAAGAGGCTGCAGCCAAGAACCCCGTCTTCACCACGTTCACCGGATTCATCGAAAACGTCGGGTCCTACGTCGAAAACGTCTCCGCCTTCGCCGAGTCGGTCGCGGTCAGTGAGGCAACGCGTCCTTCGAGGTGAAGATCTTCGCGGAGTCGGTGCCATCGTTGTGGTTTCAAATTTCTCTCTTTTGTTCCTCGGTGCAGGACACATGTGTCGCACACATCTGGCACACATGTGGCACACATGGCACGGCGAAAGAAAGAAGAAAGAAGAATCGGGTCCCTGGAACGGGTCACCTGTCTATAAATGTAGGAAGAAGGGAAAGGAAGATGGAAAAAGACATGCACTTTTGGGGGGGAAAGGTGGGAGGTGGAAAGGGCGGAAGGTCTTTGGTGAGGTTTATGTCGCCCAGCGCCGGGCAGTCAATTCGACATCCAAAGTTCTAGTTTGGGCTGCTAGTGTCTCTTGTTTCTGCATGTTTCTGGTAAGGTTCAAGCCTTTCAATTTGAAAATGGCGGAATCTCTTTGTTTCTATGTGACTGAGGCTTGACCTTCTCTGACGCCTCTTTCAATAACTGGCTGCTCACTTTGATTTCTATTTGCACAGGTACCATGACGATCCTCGCCAAAAAAGAAAGACTAGTGAGCGAATCATTCAATAGACCACCCATGACAAGTTCTTGACTGACCACAAAGACGAACTCGTTGCTTTTGCAAACGGTTCTGGAAGCCTTGGTAACCTAATAGCAATGGCCTCCAACCTACTAGCGATGGTCCCCAACCTAAGACCGATGGCCTCCAACCTAAGAGCGATTGCCTCCAACCTAAGAGCGATGGCCTCCAACCTACTAGCGATGGCCTCCAACCTAAGAGCGATGGTCTCCAACCCAAGAGCCATGGCCTCCAACAGAGCGATGGCCT